GATTCTGCAGCACAGGCCCAGCCTCGGAGGCGCTCAGAGGGCAATTTCTGCAGCAGCACGACGTACCTGAAAACCTGTAGGCTTGTTGCCAACCACACGCTCAGCGCAGTGACTAGCACAGTCCGTATGTTATGCTGCCCCCTCCTCCTCCCTCCCCCCCCCCTTGATTTGACAGTGCAGTACTGAGTGAGGGAGCTCTGGAAGGTGGTATTGGGGGAGGAGATAGTCGAGGCTTTTGGTGGTTTGGGATTGTGGAAGAAGGAGCATGTTGATGGGTCAGTTAACTCTGAACCCTAAAGACGACACTGGTGAGTGCCCATTGAACTGACCAGCACAATTCACTCCAGCACTACTGCCCACTCAAACACCCCTGCATCAATTCCCCTTGGCGGCTCCTTGGAAAGGGTTTTCTCACGGCTGTGAGGGCTGGACACAAACTGGGCCAGTATTTTGGGTGTAACCCCAGGCCTTATGGGAGAGGCACCTGTTTCCTCCATACATTTGTGAGGCTTTTGAGGAAGGGGGGTTAGGGCCCCTTTCCCTCTGGCCAGGCTGGGTTCTTACTGGTGTCTTCTGTTCAATGCAGTGGGGCAGAGGATCATCATGGCTACATCTGGGACCGGCACTACAACATCTGCCTGGCCAAGCTGCAGCACGACGATGTGGTCAACTCCGTGGCATTCAGCCCCATTGAGCAGGAACTGCTCCTGACAGCCAGTGATGACACCACCATCAAAGTGTGGCGCTCCCCCCGCACAGTGCGCATCCACCACGCCAGGAAACCTAAGCCCCGGAAGCTGCTCTTCTCCTGGCTCATGAACCAGAAGAGCTGAACCAAGGCACCTGCTCGTGCTGCTGCCTCACTCCAGCCACACCCTTCACTGTGCTTTGGACCATGGGAGCGTTGATGGAGAGGAGCTGTGGGCGCAAGGCCCTGGAAGGATCCTACCCCAAGAGAGAAGCTTGCACTCGCATCTGACAAACTGCCTCCACCGTCACTGCAGCCTGTGAGCTGGGTCCGATCTGGGCCTTAGCGGGTCACTGCAGGGCAAACTCCCCCTCCACATCTCACAAGTGCTGCTAGTCGGTCATGCTACTTGCAGCCAAGCTTTGGTCACTGATCAGCACAGACTGGCAGCTTATTTTTCTTTGTGAGCTGGGGACCGAGCCTCACCGAGCTGCGGGCTGCAAAGCAGTTGGCCCAAGGGAAATGTCGCAGCACTGCTCTTGTCATGACACGGCTGTTTTAGTAGCTGTTTTATTGCTGTCTGTCTATCCCATGCAGGAGGTGCTGACAGTGTTACTGGTCACCCTCCTCCCGTCTTCCGCAGCCAGGTCCTGAATGGAAACTGAGGAGCGAGGAGACTTTCCAAAGAGGCTCTCGCTCGAAAAGTGCAAAGCATTACGGTGCTGGTGCTGGCAGGGCAGCTCTAACATTCTGCTGATGGCAGCTAGCAACTTTCCACCCCGTGTCTCCCCTCGGGCCTACCAGAGTCCTTTGGACTGCAGCCAGCTTAAGGCAAGCCTCTGTTGCTGCTTTCCATTAGCTGTGAGCCTGTGCACCTCATCACTGGCTTCCACACACGGGTACGTGGAGAGCTGGTGAGTCACATAGGACAGGCCTTGGTGAGCTGCTAAATAACATTAAGATGCTACAGTTGCATTGCTAATGTGTTGTTTTCCAGGCAATCCACTGCATTGGTGACCACAAAGCTGAGGTTCCCCCTTCAATGGGGGCAGCGTAGGGGCTAGAGTTGGCCATGAGAATCGGAGTCCAACTGTCTCAGCATGAGCCACAAACTCTTGGTATTTGCTCTGCAGGACACAGCAGGCGGCTCTGCCATCCCAGCTGATGCCTGAGTTGCTCACTAACTGCCACCTGGATGAGAACGTCCACGTGCTCTTTCACTGTGGCTGACTTCTCCCTGCGCTGGTACCAGCCTCCCCCAGCGCCCTTAAGTTCTCATCTAACGAAACGACAAGTCTTTTCTGTGCTCTGTCACTCAAGGCCCCTGGAGCTGGATGTGATGAGGCAGCCTGTGGAAGCCTACAGCGGGAGATGAGAGGAAAATGTCTCACTTCCAGGAGCTGGCCCTGGGTCAAAGCTGATCCCTCTTTAAGAACTAGTTTTTGTCTTTGAAAACGTTGGCCCGAGGAATTGAACTTGGTGTCTGAACTAGGCTCCTAAATCTCCAGGCCTGGATTTCGGAGGTGCTGGGAACCTGCAGGTGCAGTGCTCACAGCCTTGAAAACGGCAGGCTGGATTTGGAAGCAGGGGCTCTAGTCTGTGAAACGGGCGGTGGGGGAGGACGAGGGGTGTAGACTTGTCAGGACGCTCTGCTCAGGCAGAGGCACAAGTCAAACTAAATGGTGCTTCTGCTGCTTTCTGTCAGTCCTCTGGGCTGCAGCCTTCTGTGCTGTGTGGACTCGCAGGGTTTTAATTCCTCTTATGGGGGCTGGCAAGATTAATAGTGTTGCTACCCCCAGCAGCAGGCTCCAGGGCCTCTAGCCCCCAGAGTTCACATAACGGGTCTGTCTGTCACTAGCAGCAAAACTTCCCCAGAGAGCAGGGAGGTTTTGTTTGCAAATGGGTCGGAAGACATGGATGCTTCCTGTGGAGCTGTTTGACCATTAAAGAAACTAAATTCACTCACCCTGAGTGGGGATTTTTTGAAATAGCTGTGAGCTCCTGTGAACCCTTTTCCTGCTCACTGGCTCCGGACTGCCTGGGCCCGGCCAGGACCTGAGCACAGCAAGGAGCTTTCTGTTGTTCAAACACCCTGCTCCTCGCTACAGCACTGAAGAAGGGGCCTGCTCTGCTGTGGCTGCAGTGTGGCGTTCTGCTACCTGGGATTCGAGCTACTCTTGGCAAACGGCCTCATCTCTCACGGAGGTACAAGCCCCAAACAACCCCCCTCTAGTACAGAGGCAATGCGCTCAGGGGGGCTGTCCTTAGGATCCTGAAGGGACTTGGGCATTGCGCTGCTGAGTGGGGCAGTGCCTGGAAAAAGCAGAGACCCTCCACTGTGAGGGGCCTAGACTCCATCTGCCCCTTTAGCATAGAGACAGGCACATCTTAGGCTGTGACCCCCAAAAGCCAGCACAGTAGGCAGGGAGCTGAACCTGGGTCTCCCAGCTGTCCCCTAACCAGGGACTGAACAGTTAAAGTGAGCAGTGGTAGCTGCTGCTGTTCCTGCAGTCAGGTTTTCAATGGGCCCTACTCCCATAGCCAAACCCCTCAGCATGCCCTTTGCCCTGGGCTGGGGATTGCTGTGAGCTTAGGCTGCACCTGGGCATCTGGCTGCTGAGAGGAAGCCAACAGGGCGAGCACCTTTAGGCACACAGTGATTTTAAGCCTCTACAGCTTTTTGTGGGAGTTTCCTAGTTTGCAGTGGATCCCAAAGGGGGATGTAGGTACCATTTGGGGGGTGATGTGTTACCAGCAGGGAGGGCTGGAGAAATGAGCATGGGGGTGGGAGCTGAAAGTAGCATGCTGAGAGTCAGAGCTGTGTTCTTGCCCCAGCCCCATGGTGGTGGTCGCTGCCTGTTTTCCCTTCTCTGAAATGGGGGCAATACAGGTACTTCACATAGGCCAGGAGTGTCGTCTGGGGCAGGCTGACCAGCCATGACCCAGCGGCAGCGGGGGGGCAGGCTCTCTTTTGAACAAAGGTTTATAGACTGGTGGGTCTATAGTCAGGTGAGCCCCTTTCTTCCCAGTCCCATATGCACTTGTTGCATCTTATTTCAAAGTAGGTAAACTCAGCAGGGTAGAGCCTGTGTCTGAACAGCTCCCAGCACCTCTGGGACCCAGCATGTGCAACCACAGTAAGGGGGTGGGAAAAGGATTATTTGTCCTGTTCTTTAGCAAAGTAACTGCAATAAGGGACAAGCCCCACTCCTGCAGGAGGCTGTGGCACACGAGGGGTCCCACTTTCAAAGCCATCAGTTTCACAGAAACAGTTTCTAGTTCCCATTCTTGATGGTGCTGCATATTGTCCCATTACTGTCCAGCCTTCCCTTGGGATACAATACTTTATTAATGGTCTCACTCATACAACAGCACAGAGGACACTTCATTTCACAGTTGGAGCCTCTGAGGTGTGTTTGGACACATCCATGAAAGGTGAGAGCCTAGTGCTTGCTCTAGGGAAGATGTCGCAAAGCTGCTAAGGGAGGAAATATTGTTCTGGCTAAGCTAGCACACAGCAATCACCAACCAGGTCAGGCCCCTGAAAGACTCATTAACTACATCAAACTAAAGGCATTTCCACAAGTGCCGAACAACCCACCCCCTGAGTTCCACACAAACATGGTCATGCCTCAGAGGAGAGACACTGCAGAAGTAAAATCCCATCTCTGCTTTAGCTACCTTTTGGGGGCAAGAAAATGCCATGATAATGAATCTGGAGCCTCATCTGGATACGTATGTATAAAAATATGGAAGTGTTGGGCAACCTGACTGCCAGGCCTCATTTCTGCTCACCATTCACATCGCTGCTGTCCACTGGAAAGTCGTGGTGTGAGCCGCAAAGAGCTATGTTCGCATCCCTGGTCAGAGCACCCGCTCTGGCTAGTAGGGCTAGTGCAGTTCAACTTATACAGCCCCTCTCACCAAACTTGTTCCTTCATCACAAGGCCACCTCCTCCCCCTCGGCCATACACTGGCTGCCTGCACGTGGCCTGTTTGCAGAGCCGTAGACTCCCGTAGGAGCTCAGCACCTGAGCCCCTCCCGCAGGAGCCTGACCTACTGCACTTCTGGTTGATTAGCCATAGACGGGATTTGTTTGCTTTTGAATTTTGCTCCTGAGCAATCCTACCACAACCACCCCTCAGCACGGATTCCTCTCCGCTGGGACTGGCGTGCTGGCCTAAGGCTTCTTTCCCTCACAGCCTTGGGGGTAAAGAGGCTTGAATTTTACAAGAATCCTCCCCTGCATGACTTAGCAAAAGCCTCCTGTAAAGCCCAATATGGTGCTGGCCAGGCAGAGTTACTAGTGTCCGTCAAGGCAGTGGTGTGAAACGGACAGCTGGAGCTGTAATTCAACTATCCCATTACCGACTGGACTCAGGGAGGTTGTAGGAGACTGGGATCACAGGCCATCACAAAGCAGGTATTCACAGCTGGCTCAGTGACATTCACCCAGAGCTGGCAGTTCAGTGCATCCATGCACAAAACTACCCCGGGCAGTAGCTGCAGTACAAGCCTTAGCTACGTTCCACCTGCCTTGTCCATGCCTACTTTCCATCCACTGACCAGCCACACCTCCACTGGCTTTCCAGCCCCCACCTTTTCACAAAGTGGGTGCTGCGGGGCACAGGTGCCATTTAGCCTCTCACACTCTGGGAATTTGCATCATAGCCACCAGCAGGGGGCAGCCAATCAATTTCACTGAAGGTAATTGAAGGGAGGGAGTAAGCTGCAGAGAAATAATTGGGGGGGGGGGGTGGAGGGGAAAAGCCTTCAACCTTAGCACAGCTGGTAAGTGATGGGGGGACTAACAGCCCTGGGGAGAGCAATATGAAAAGCAACAAGTCTTTCAAGTGACTTCCTCAGAACCTAAGGCCCCTTCTCTCCCCATCCACTCGGCTGGAACAGGCTTGCTCATGCAGAGAGGACCCTCTTCCATGAGATGACTATAACAGGTGATTCCTTCTGTGCCAGAGCTGGGCTCCTCTGGTCAATTACAGCCTGGATAGAACTAGGGGGCCCTTCTCCAGCATGGGAACACTGGGGCTCTAGGAGGAAGCCAGTGCAGGCTTTTTGGATGTTGGGTGAATTTATACTACAAGGGAAGGTGCAGCAGTGACAACGCGAGCATCCCCCAACACCTTGTGTGTCACACCGGGATCAACGGGGCCTCCACTAACAGCATCCATAGCCGGGCGGAATCGCTTGCTGGAGCCACCGCACTGCACATAATGTGGTCTAACAAGACACAGCAGCAGCCAGAGGCCATCTTGCTGCACAGCAGCCCGCTATTGCCACAGCGCAAAACAGCGGGGGAATCTGGATGCTGCTCCTCTTTGGAGCCCTCTTCCCTCACTGTTTGACAGCAGCTCCTGCGGGCGGGGCCCAGCCCGTGTCTGCGAAGGCCCCAGCATGCCTGTGAGCACTAGATGAGTGGCATGATGCGTGTAAGGGCGGCTCCTGCAGCCCGTCCCAGCCAGCCTGGGTAGGCTTTGAACCGTGGCTAAAAACTCATCCCAACACCTCTCCACAGGGAGGGAGAGCAGCCACCTTGGTCTCCTGCCACAAGCACTATATGGAGCTGGCTCTGGGTTCCACCCCAGCCACCCGACTGAATTTTGGACAGAACCCACAGCAGATGCCAATGTACAGTATGGGCCAGAGATGCCTTTCAAACCTCTGGGGGTCCCTGCTAGGGCTTTAGACCTTTGATAGCCTCTGGGGCCCAGGTCCCCTGACTGCTCAACCCCCCCCAAAGGCAGCTGCTGTGGAGGGACAAGCCTAGCAGTGACAGTGACGTTTCTAAGAGCCAGCCCCGGCCACTGAAGACAAAGCTAGTACTTCCCAAACCAGGGGACAGATCACCTCCCCCTGCCTTCTGCTGCAGCAGTTTAACTCCGCCAGGCCTTGTCGGTGGATCAGTAGTACCAAGAGTCTGGCTGGCCCCGGCGCACAGCCAATCAGCCTACAGGAACGTGTAGTCTCTCGTTTCTCAGACAACGTAGAGAAACCTCTCTTAGCAAGCGCCCAAAGGCTCAGGAGAGTCACTGCAACGGGGAGCTGGAGAGTGCACATAACAGGCTGTTCCTGAGGGGTTGGGCCCCATCTGGATCCAGCGTTCTGAAACGGAACAGCCCCCAGGCCTGTTGCCACTGGGCACGCAGCAGCGCTGCCTCAGGGCAGGGAACGGTGGGTGGTGTCTGTGCAGGGCTTGGAGAGCACAGACACTCAGACAGCTTGCTGTGGAGTACTGTCCAGACCCTACCCAGACTCCCACCTGCTCCCGTGACCCTCCAAGATCTAGATGTCTGTCTTTAAACGGAGCGGATTTAATTCCCTTTGGCTCCCATGGGGCGGCTGTTTTACATCTGTTTATTGGCCCCTCTGTGTGCAGAACTCCCCATCCAAAGAGAGAGAACCAGCCACCGCTCCTGGCCCAGAAACGACATACATGTAAATAACGGCTCAGCTGGGGAGCAGTGCAGTACTGGAGACCCCCGCTGGCTTACTTCGCTGTGGGCATGAGCCCATACGCACCCCTTTAGTCCTGACAGAAGCTTCCTGTCACCCTAGCCTGGAATCAAAACTCATCTCCACTGACAGATTTCTGACCCCAGCTGAGGTGTGCGGAAGGGCTGGGCGGAGTAGGGGGCCGAGTGGACTGAAGCAGGCCGCTGCCTAGGCTCCAGTGGTGGGACAGCCTGTCACTGGTCCTAGCTAGGACAGTGAGAAGGCAGAAGTGCCTCAGCTCTGCAGATGCCCCTGGGCCTGAGCCCAAGTGGGGAACATACAATCTCTCTCTTTAGAGGACACAGAGGGGCTATGGCCTTCCTCCACGGAGAGGGCCACAATTTCACAATCCTGGATTCCCTTACGTTTGCTAACTGGTGATCGTTCCACAGAGAATTCCTTCCCCTGCACACAGGCAGCGGATCACTGATGCTAACTGGAAGTGGGGCT